TAGCCCTGATGGTTGTGGAGAAACGTTGCCTGAATGAACCCTAAAGGCTCAGAAGGCAAAGAAAAAGAACCCTAAATGTGTGGGGTTTTTTTTTTTTTAATTTTATTATTTGTTAAGCTCATCTCATGATTCCTGGGAGCCAGATCTAGGATATTTGAGGACTTGAGATGGTCACTACTGAGAGAGGCAATTTTCATCTGGCATCCCCATAGGAGCCAAGGCTGTATAGAGAATGCACTGAATCTGTATATTTCCCACCAGCCTACTTCTTTCCAGGCCATCACTTTCTATGCCGTGGGCTGGAGGTGGCCTGCAGTGCTCTCTGTACTGGCCATTTCCCCCTGCTCTGACCTTCAAGGACTTTCTACTTAGGGAAATCTGCCCCAAACCACAGAGTCATAGGCTTTCAGGCCAAACTTCCTATATAGCACAGGTCAAAGAGGTTCACTAGTTAGCCCTGCATCCAGCTCAGGAACTGGAGCCTGATTAAAGTGTATCTTACAGAAAGGCCTCCGGTCTGGATCTGAAGACTCCAAGAGATGAAGAACCCACCCCTTCCTGTATAGTTTGTTCCAATGGTTAATCACCCTTTTAAAAACTGGTGCCTCATTTCTAACTGACAGGCTTCAGCATCCAGTTGTTAGTTCTTATTCTGCCTCTCTCCTTGAGGTGAAAGAGCTTGTTAGTCCCCAGTATTTTCTCCTTGTGAATTTACTTCTACACTGTAATCGTGTCACCTCTTGGCTCTTGCTCTTCTTTTGGGAAAATGAAACAGACTGAGCTCCTCAAGTCTCTCCCTGTAGGGTGTTTCCCCAGCTCTTGCGTGGGAGTCAGCAGAGAACCTGGGCTGAATTTAGCCCAGTGTATGCAAGGCCTCCCTAGCTTTGTGACTCCTGGCTCCAATTCTGAGCAACCTCTTTCCAGGCAGGCTTCCTGAGTTGGACTTTATAACTTTCCAGGCTGCAGCAGGGACCTGCAACACAATCAGACTCTGCTGCCTTCAGGCCGGATAAATTCCACCAGCTGATCACCTTCTACCCTTCACACAAAGGTCAGGCTTGAAACTTCACAGCAGTAGAAACTTCACCGCTGTAGAAGAGAATGAGACTCATGCAGGGCTAAAGGCTGGGTAGGTGCCCAGCCTTCCAGCACCATCCTGTCCCCTAGCTACTGACTTAAAACAACCCCACTTACTCCCCACTCCCAAGTCCAACAACCTCCCAATGCAGCCACTGGCTGCAAATGCTTCCCTTGGCCTATCGTTAAAACCTAGTAGAACAGGCTGAGTTACTGGAGTCTCTTGTCTGGGGCAGATGACATGGCAGTGGGAACAGTACAGGATGGCAGATTCTGCCTGCTTGGGCCTTCACTCCCATTCTGAAAACACTGATTTGTAATGCTGACACTACCCAGTGTTTCTTATGCCTTGCTCTCTGCACTGAGCACCAGATCGCACCCCAGACCCAGAATTCTGCTGGGGCAGCTGGCATGTGCGAGTGCTGCGGGGCAGGTGCCGGAGCCTTGAGGGGCTGCTGGGTGTGTGCCCCACAGGGCTTTGGGGCATGTACTGAGGCCAGAAGGTCTGCGCCCTCCTCACGGGGGTCACACACTTTCCTTGACACCAGTCTGAATCCCTAGCTTTCCTGCCCAGCCCTGCTGCACCAGATTTTTCATTTTACACACATATAAATTTTAGTATCCTTCTTAAAATCAAGACTTGTTGATCGACACCCGTGGAGTTTCCTCACTCTTTTCCAGAGGGTGGGAAAATGGCCATAAGGAGGAAGAGGGGAGTCATTTTATTTTTGGAATGAGATGGAAAAGTGCCAGGAAGGATTTTTCTGCATTGCATGTTTTCTAGGGTCTTTCCTAGTCCAGTTTTAAACATCCCAGTGGTGGGGTTCCCACCGCATCTCCTGGCAGACAGTTCTCCAGCTGGATCCATCTGCCTCCCAGTGAGTGGTGGGGCTCCTGTCCCATCCCCTCAACAACCCAGCTTGAGGTGTCTCACCATCAGGAAGATTCTCCTGAGCTTCAAATTAAATTTTCTGTTGTTCAGTTTGATCCAATTCTTCATAATCATGTCCCCTTCGATTGTATCCTAAATCAGCCCTCTCCACCTGTAATGTTTATGCATGGCCACTATTTGTAGATATGTCAGCGTCCCCCTGCCCCACCACCTCAAAAAATTGTCACTTAGCCAAGTCAAATATATTTAGCTCTTTTAATCTTTCTCTACTGAATCTTTCCCTCCAGCCCCAGCTCATTTTTGTGGTTCTTCCCTGAAAATTCCTCCAGTTTTGCCAATATCTGTCTGGTAACAAGATGCTCAGAATTGCAAATAATCTTCCAGCTGGAGTCTTCCAGGCTGTGTATAGAGAGACCATCCTCTTCCTGTCCTGTGACCTGAGGCCTTTGCTTGTGAAACCTGGATCATGTTGGCTTTTTTGTTTCTCTTGCTGCACTCTCATATTGCAGATTCCTACCCTCACTCGTCACTATCATTGCCTCCCAGTTTTTCCCTCTCTGAATTTCTAGGGTTTGGATAAATGTTGCCAGCTATAGTAGCTGCTTTGTTTCCAAAGTAAGTCTCATTTTCTTTCCTGTCCCTGTTTCTAACACCTAGAGCTCTTTGTGTTGTTTCACTGTCCTCACTGGTGTTTGCAACTCATTTGGTATCTGCTGTAAACTTAATTAACTTGTTTGCCCTATTTGCAGGTGTTAACAAAGACCAGTACCACCTGCTACTCACCTTCCCCCAATTTACTGCTTCTGGTTCATTTCCCCTGTAAACTTACTGTGAGTTCTTTCTGTGTCCCATTATTTCCTTAGGGCCAGAAGGGAGATTTACCAAACCACCAGTGCCCAGAGCAATCTTGGCATGTTTTCCACCATTAGGGCCCCAGGCTCCTTCCTGTTACAGCATCAGTCACAGGCCACCTGTGAATAGCAGAGCTGTGAGGGTATGGTGGAGGGAGGGGCTCGTGCCCAGGTGTTACAGTATCTCATTAAGCCCACGATACAGTGCTCCAATGGCTGAGTAACACCATCCTACACAAGAAATCTGCCACCCCCTCTGAGTGCACCTTCCCTGCCAAAAGCCAGTGCAGCCCACTAGTGCTCAGAGGTTACACCAGTTTCCTCCTTTCACTCTCTTCAGCCCTGGGGCACCTACTATCTGTACCTACAGAATTCCTCAAAGCCCTTTCCAAGTGTTATGCCTTTTGCTTTTTTCCTGCAAGCATTAACAGAGGCTGGTGCCTGCTGCACCATTTCTTATCTGATGTATTTAGCACCTGTACAAAACACAACTGGAGAAAGTTCCTGCTCCTGAGAGTGTATCACCTCCAGAGACAGAAGATGAGACTCGGGGGCAAGGAGTTAAATTGGGGGTGGAAGAAGGGGGTTAATATATTGTTAAATGTATATTTATTCCTTTTCCTTGTATATCTGTGCCTCCCCAAAATGAGTCATTGTGAGTTTTAAGGATTTGCTCTTTCCATAGAATGGGGCCTTAAATGAGGTGTGGGGTGGGGACCTGGTGCCTTGGACTGGGAACCTGGGGGTGGGGGCTGGCATGGGAGAAAGCACCAAGACAGGGGCAGACAAAGGATACACTGGCCTGGTGCAGTGAAGTGGGTGAGGGTAGGGTGTGATGTGGAACAAGATCTAGAGGCTGGTGCAGAACAGTGCTCAGCAGGGTCAGGAAGTTTATTTTGAGTGGAGGGATTCAGTGAGCAGGGGATGTGGCAGGACTGACCCAGCCAAACGAATTTCTAATGGCAGCTGTGGGTAGGAGGATACTCGCCTCTCGATGCTACAGGCTGCGCATAGACCTGTCTGTCCCTGATTTGCCTATTAGCCTCCAATACTTGCTTTAGTAGTAATAAACAGCCTTTCCTCAGAATCGTGCTGCCCTTACCTGGAAAATCCTTGCAGAATGATGGAGGAAATGGAGCCCAGAAGGGTGCCGCATGGACCCCCTTCTCCAGGGTGTGGGGAATGGGTGCTGTGCAGCACCCATTCCCCAAGGGGTGGGGGGACAGGTGGTTTATGGAGTGGAGGGGCGTGGGGAATAGGTTACGTGAGGGATCCTTTCTTAAGGAGTGCCCCGATGGTGCTCAAGTTTCCTTGTGTTGTCTGCTCCTGACCAATACAGGCATTTTGCTCTGGGACATGGGGAGCAGGGAGGGTCAGCAGCTCCTCAGGGGCAGAAGTTATAAACCTGGGACTGAAACAGCGCTTAGCTCTGAACTGCCCCACTCTGCACCGTGAGCAGGGGCTGGGGGAGCAGGCGTCTCCACTGGGAGTGATGGGCACAGCATCTCACGTCACGATGGGGAGGGCGGGGCATGGAGCCCCGCTCCTGGCTGGCAGATTCTTCTTGGCCTCCAATACTCTGGCTTTGGTGGGTTGGTTTGTCTGAGCCAGTGTTTTGGCTGCTCTGGTTACTAAGGAGGTGGCGCAGGCGGTGGCTGGAGTTTGGGGAATGCTGGCTCTGGGCTCAGCTCTAGCCCCCATTTGCTGGCCGGTGTTTCCTCCCCATGAAATAGGGTACAGTGATGCCAACCTGTCCTTGGTAAAGTGCGTTGGGACCCAGAGCTGAGAAGAGCTGGGTATCCTTGCTGGCAAGTGCTGTGAAGGCCAAGTCGCTGCTCCCCCCCGATGTCCTGTTCCTCTGGTTTCTGAAGGGCTCCTCTTGCATTTGGTGTCCCTCTTCTGTTCTCTTTCTTGCTTTGCAAGCCAACAGATATGGCAGCTGTGGAGCCTCTGTGGCTCCCGAACCCCACAGCAGCCAGCTGTCCAGCCCTGCGCTTCTCCTGCGGTGACAGTCCGTGGCTTCAGGGCCCTGTTTACCATCCAGTTAATAAATGAACAGGAATCAGTGAAACTTTCCAAACACAGAGCTGGCTCTGTAGTGATTCTGGGGCGGGTGGGAGCCCTGATGCTAAAGCTCAGAGCTGGAAAGCATTCCAAGCTGTGCGGGGGCATTCGCAGCCCAGTTCCAGAGACTCTTTCCCCAACTCCAGCCCCCACCACCCTGCAGGTGCAGTGGGCTGGCACTTGGCTGTGAAACTGGAGAGAGCTGGTTTGAGTTTGCACTTTAGTTCCTGTCAGGAAGGGAGCTCTGAGATCTGAGTTAATCCCAGCGCTAAGGATGTCTCAGTTGCTCTGGCCTTTTGTGAGATTCCTGCTTCTGATTGAAGTGGCAGCCTCCGTGAACTTTTTCCACCACCGCTATGAGCAGTTGGTGGAGGCCCTGTTCAATGTGCACAACGAGTGTCCCGATATCACCAGGATTTACACTATTGGCCGCAGTGTCCAGGGGAGACATCTCTACGTCGTGGAATTCAGTGACAACCCTGGAATCCATGAACCCTGTAAGTACTGAATGAGAGGAGGTTCCTGGGGGGGCCCTGTACCTGTACAGGCTGCAGTCTGTGCCATGCCAAACCACATCCCACAAATCGTCCTACATGGTACAGGTTATGGGGCCAGACTGCTTCCTCCAGGGAAGTCACTGTCAGACGGGGATCTGAAGCTTTCCTGACGGCCCTAGACTGTGCTATGCTCAGTAGCCTCCATGTTCAGTGGTCAAGATGGCCCATACCGTAATTGTAGGCACACAATGCCCACTTCAGCAAGTGAGTGAGTAGGCCCCATAACCAGGGAGACAGGGTGCAGCAGCCATGGGGGTTGACAGGGACCCAAAACCCTATGGCCACGGATAAAGCTAGAGGTTACCTCTGCACATGGTCCAGTGCACATGGGCAGGAGCCTTAGCCCAGTCAGGCACATTAAATGGGACTCTGAGTTTTAAATCCAAGTAAATTTAATGATGAAGGCACCAGCTAGAATTCCCATCGGGCCCCTCCATTTCACTGCCCCAGTTAGTAACTGGCAGTTTTTCACACCACCCTGACCCACCCAGGGCTCTGTGCTAGGCAGAGGTGATCTGTGATGGGAGGGAGGAAAGACAAGGTCGCCCCCCACCACCATGCTGGCTGGCAGAGTCTGTGATGGGATGGACTGGCCGAGCCCCTCCACAGGGCACTGGGCTAGGCTTGCGTTGCCTATGATGGGAGGGCGGGGACAGGCCATGGTGAGGGGCTGAAGTCCTGCACTGAGTCTGATCAGCCTTGACATACAGAGGGCTGTGAATTGGTGCAGAGCTCTCTCCCATCTCCTTCACTGTGGCCCACCGGTGCTGAGCAGAGGGACTGTTGTGGGGAGAAGCCAGGGAAGCCAAACCAGCTACAACATTTCATGCTCAGGTCCTTATAACATCACAGCACTGAGATATATGTATAGTGAAAACAATCATCAGATTACCACCAAAAAGTTAAGAAATGGTGAGTAAGGCTAACAAGAAGAATAGGTTACATAAAAAACAACAAGTATTACCTGCTTCTTAGAGTTTAAACTTGACTTTAAAATCTTTGTCTAAAGCAGTTTCTCACCTAAAGCAATCTCCCGCCATTACTAACCAACATGGCTAGGGTCCAACTTTTGTGAATGCAGAAGCATTGTCCTTTTTTGCTTTCTCAGTGAAGGATGAAAAATATGTCTCTTTGCCTTTCTCTTCTATCCCAAAGTCCACTGTTTTTGTCCCCTGAGTCAGGATGACCCCCAATAACTCTTTCCTGGGCTGCTGATTCCAAGTTGTCTTTGTGTTCTCCTGTTGACTTATATGCAAAAATGGGCTTCCATTGTATTGGCTTACAATGCTTAATTTACATAGCTGACCGTGAGACAGGTGAATCAGCTTCCTTTGCCTCAAAACCTGTTTGTCATCCCTGCGTTGATTTGGAGTTTAAAACGTGTGTTTAGTAAATATACTGAACTTCTTAAATAGCATCCATCTGCACATCCTGGCATGGTTCTGAGGATCAGCATGACATAAGCTTTTATTAGATACCTCACACGACCCGTTTTGGATCAATACTGTGAAAGCAGCGTGTCGGGTGTAATATCTTTGTCAGGCTTGATAGGAATTGCTGTTACAGAACAGTGAGCCCTTTGCCACTGTTTGGCACTGAGGCGTTATTAGGGTCACAGGTGCTTTCTCTGCTTTGCAGACAAAACCCGTCCAATTTAGATTGGATTGGCTGCCCCAAGTGAGCAGAACCTGCTGGAGTGGGGGGAAGGCAACCTCTCCTCTGGGTGAGAGGCTGTCCGTCTTCTGACTCAAGGAAGTCCAAGGTGTCGGGGAGAGGGCAATCACAGCCTGTGCTTCATGCCTACTTCTTCGCAGCTGGTGAAATCAAGCAGGGGATGCTGCATCCACCCTCAGGAGCCCAGCAGCACCTCCTCTGGGGCGTGGGCAGTGACGGTGAGGTACTCGCACTCTCAAGCAAACAACAGCTTGGCCCTTACCAGGAACCAGTCTTCTAACACTGATGGCCTCATAACTACTTACTGCCCTGCTCTAACCTTTCAGACTGCTAGGGGTGAACTCTGCATATGCCCTAGTGCACATGCAGGGGAACCAGGCCTAAGCCTGAATGTCTACACCACAGTTAAACAGCCCCTTAGCCTGAGCCCTACAAGCCTGAGTCAGCTGGCACAGGCCAGCTGTGGGTTTTTAACTGAAGTGCAGAGATACCCGGGGGAGGGTGGGGGAACTATTGAGAAGTTTATGGTGACTCAGCTCTGCAATCACTAGAGCTCCGATTGCCCTGACAATCCAGCCTCAGCCTGGGAGTGGCAGGGAGATGGCCCTGGTCCTGAGAGTCAGTGAATTAAGCCTCCATGTCCACAGTGAGTCTTGTATTTCTAATGGCTGCACATTGGAAGACAGGATTAGAATTCAAAATGACTTTGACAAATTAGAGAATTGGTCTGAAATCAGCAGGCTGAAATTCAGTCAAGACAAGTGCAAAGTACTTCACTTAGGAAGGAAAAATCAAATGCACAACTACAAAATGTGGAATAATTGGCTGGGTGGCAGTGCTGGTGACAAGTATCTGGGGTCACAGTGGATCACAAATTGAATATGAGCCAACAATGTGAAGAAGTTATGAAAACGGCTAATAGGAGTGTCATATACAACACATGGGAGGTAATTGTCCCTCTCTACTTGGCACTGGTGAGGCTTCAGCTGGAGTTCTATGGCCAGTACTGGGCAGCACACTTCAGGAAAGATGTGGACAAACTGGTGAGAGTCCAGAGGGGAGCAACAAAAATTATCAGAGGTTTAGAAAACCTGATCTAGGGGGAAAGGTTAAAAAACCTGGACATGTTGAGTCTTGCAAAAAGCAGACTGAGGGGGACATGAGAACATCCTTCATGTATGTCAGGGGCTGTAATAAAGGAGACGGGGATTGAGTGTTCTTCAGGCCCACTGAAGGTAGGACAAGGAGTAATGGATTTAATCTGCAGCCAGGGAGATTTAGGTTAGACACACTAGAACCTCAGAGTTATGAACACCAGTTACGAACTGACCAGTCAACCTCTCGCTGCATTTGGAACCAGAAGCACCCAATCAGACAGCAGCAAAGACATGCCCTCCCCCCACACTCCCCCCAAAAACCATATACGGTACAGTACTATGTTAAAGGTAAACTACTAAAAAAATAAAGGGAAAGTTTAAAAAAAAGATTTGACAAGGAAAGAAACTGTTTCTGTGCTTGTTTCATTTAAATTAAGATGGTTAAAAGCGGTATTTTTCTTCTGCACAGTAAAGTTTCAAAGCTTTATTAAGTCAATGTTCAGTTGTAAACTTTTAAAAGAACAACCAGTACATTTTGTTCAGAGCTATGAATGTTTCAGAGTTACGAACAACCTCCATTCCCGAGGCATTTGTAACACTGAGGTTCTACTGTATTAGGAATATCCTTATAAGGCTTCCCTGTCGCTGGACGTTTTTAAGAACAGGTTGGACTAACACCTCTCTGGGATGGTCCAGCTATACTTGGTCCTTCCTTAGTGCAGGGGGCTGGGCTTGTGCTCCCAAGGTCCTGTCCAGCCCTACATTTCTATGCACAGGCACCGGCTTTCAGGTTTCCCTGGGGTACTCAACCCCCGCTCAGCTCCAGGCCCTGCCCTCACTCCACCCCTTCCCCCAAATCCCCACCCCGCCCAGCCTCTTCCTGCCCCCACTATGCCCCTACCCTGTCTCTTCTCACCCAGTTCTGCCCCCTCCCCCAAACACACCCTATCCCTCGCTCCTCTCCCTCCCTCCCTCCTTCCCAGCGCCTCCTGCAAGCCAGAACAGCTGATCCACAGAGGGTGGAAGGTGCTGAGAAGGAGGGGGAGGAGTTGATTGGCAGGGCGCCAGTGGGTGGGAAGTGATGAGTGGGGGGAGAGCTGGCTGCCAGTGGGTACTAAGCACCCTCTAACTTGTTTCTGTGGGTCCTCCAGCCCTGGAGCACCCACAGAGTCAGGGCCTGTGTTTCTATGATCATAGAATCATAGAATATTAGGGTTGGAAGGGACCTCAGGAGGTCATCTAGTCCAACCCCCTGCTCAAAGCAGGACCAATCCCCAACTAAATCATCCCATCCAGGGCTTTGTCAAGCCTGACCTTAAAAACTTCTAAGGAAAGAGATTCCACCACCTCCCTAGGTAACGCATTCCAGTGTTTCACCACCCTCCTAGTGAAAAAGTTTTTCCTAATATCCAACCTAAACCTCCCCCACTGCAACTTGAGACCATTACTCCTTGTTCTGTCATCTGCCACCACTGAGAACAGTCTAGATCCATCCTCTTTGGAACCCCCTTTCAGGTAGTTGAAAGCAGCTATCAAATCCCCCCTCATTCTTCTCTTCCGCAGACTAAACACTCCCGGTTCCCTCAGCCTCTCCTCATAAGTCATGTGTTCCAGTCCCCTAATCATTTTTGTTGCCCTCCTTCTTGTAGTGTGGGGCCCAAAACTGGACACAGTACTCCAGATGAGGCCTCACTAGTGTCAAATAGAGGGGAACAATCACGTCCCTCGATCTGCTGGCAGTGCCCCTACATATACATCCCAAAATGCCATTGGCCTTCTTGGCAACAACGGCACACTGTTGACTCATATCCAGCTTCTCGTCCACTGTAACCCCTAGGTCCTTTTCTGCAGAACTGCTGCCGAGCCATTCGGTCCCTAGTCTGTAGCGGTGCATTGGATTCTTCCGTCCTAAGTGCAGGACTCTGCACTTGTCCTTGTTGAACCTCATCAGATTTCTTTTGGCCCAATCCTCTAATTTGTCTAGGGCCCTCTGTATCCTATCCCTACCCTCCAGCGTATCTACCTCTCCTCCCAGTTTAATGTCATCTGCAAACTTGCTGAGGGTGCAATCCATGCCATCCTCCAGATCATTTATGAAGATATTGAACAAAACTGGCCCCAGGGCTGACCCTTGGGGCACTCCACTTGATACCGGCTGCCAACTAGACATGGAACCATTGATCACTGCCCATTGAGCCTGACAATCTAGCCAACCCTCTATCCACCTTATATGATATATTTAGCCATTAGATCCTAGGGCGTGGCTGCAGAGCCAGGCACAACTTGCTAGCGATTTGCTTGACCGCCGATGGAGAAGGGCTCGAGGTGGGTGCAGGGCACTTTGCTCTCTGGTGAGGAATGCTGCCCTGCCCCCTCCCCCCTACGCTGTGTTCTCTGCCTCTGGAGGAGATGAAGAAGGGGCTCGGGCCTAGACTCTTGGCCTGGTTCTCATCAGACCCTTTGCCTTCCCTGTCTGGCTGAGTTTAGGGTCTGGGTGGGAGCTGGCCCTGATGACTACTAGGAAATTCCAAAGAGTGTAGAGTTCAGTGTCCCATTTACTCATGTGGATGTATGGCACCGGTGCTCTGGTATCTCTCCAGCTATCTGGTGCAATTCAGGCCCTGTCCTTGGCTAATAAATCCACGTTCCCCCATGTGCTGTTCCCTCCCCCCACCCCCACCCCCCCGGTGGAGCTCAGCTCCGACACTGTGTCACTCCCTAGAGCTGGACACTGGAGAGCTGAGGGCAGGCTGCTCTCAACAGGGGACTCATGCAATAAGCTTACTGTCATTACGCCGACAGAACGGCCTGTGGAGAGCTCCAGGGATGGAGTCCCACCCTCCTCAGGCCCACACCAGCCTGCCAGAGGGAGCTTAGAAGGTTTAACAGGGCAGCTCTTGCTTTCAATGCGTCTTTATAGGAAAGAATCTGGGGGTAGGCCAAGGCTGAGAGAGTGAGTTTATCCTGCAGTTTAATTTAAAGCATCTTGAGGCTTGTGAAGTCAGGAATGTGACATGCCAGCAAGCAGCACTGAGAACAAACAGTGAAGGGGAGTTCTGGGCCAAGGGAGAGACCAGTGCAAATAGCTTGCCCTTCACGGAGTTTGAGCCAGTGACTCCCCTTCCCCCGCTGTAACAAAGTCGTGATGCCCCTGCACCCCCTCCAGCTTCAGAGCACCCCATGGTTGTGCCCCCCAGTTCTGGAGCCGTAACTCTCCTGCACCTGCCCTCCCCACCCCGGTGTCTGAACAGTGACAACCCCACCCACCTCCCCTCCTGTACTAGAGCAGTGACCCTCTGTTCAATGTGTTATGCTGCATTTCTTGTCCTAGTCTGATGCTGAGCAGCTGTTAAACAACCACTGTGTTCTACTGTGGCAGTGGCCGTGTCTCGGTGGTGGGCCACGCTTTCGGGTAGGTCCTAGGGAGGCCACTTCTGCTGCGCTTTGGCAGTGGAGGGGTTGGGCAGTGTAAGAATGCAGATACTATTCTGAAACCTGTTGTTATTGATTAGTGAGTTTACTTATTAAATGAGAGAGAACATTATTACTTATCTGAGTGCCTAGGAGCCCCCGTCCTGGCCCAGGACCCCATTTGCTAGATGTGGTACAAACACAAATCATTTGGGTCATTCATTGGTTCTGCTCAGAGGTGTCACTGGGTTGCTCCACTGAATGTTGGCTCCCTGTTCATGGGGAATATCTGGCTCCGACCATATCTCAGCCCCCACCCTCCCTGTTTTGGTGTCACTGGGTCTCTTGTTTTTCCCAGTGGAGCCAGAGTTCAAGTATGTTGGGAACATGCATGGGAACGAGGTTCTGGGCAGGGAGCTGCTGCTCCAGCTCTCTGAGTTCCTGTGTGAGGAGTATCGCCGGCGGAACGAACGGATCACACGGCTCATCTGGGACACACGCATCCACATCCTGCCCTCCATGAACCCAGACGGATATGAAGTGGCTGCCAACCAGGTACCAGGCAAGCATTCTCCTCATCTTACCTGGCAGGGGCATGACATGCCCTTGTGCTGTAGGACCCCAGTGCCTCTTCCACCAGTAATTGCTAAGGATGAATAGAAAAGAATAGCACAGGCATGAAGGGACAAAATCAGAAAGGTACAACATGAGTTACACCTAGCAAGGGACACAAAAGACAATAAGAAGAGGTTTTGTAAATCCATTCAGAGCAAGAGAAAGATTAAAGAACATGTAGATCCACTACTTAGTGGGTTGGAGAGCTAACAACAGACATCAAAAAGGCGGAGCTGTTTAATGCCTATTTTGCTTCCATCTTCACCAAGCTGGAGGGGTTGCAAGCACTTTGGAGGAAAGGATTAGAACTCAAAATGACCTTGACAATTAGGAGAATTGGTCTGAATTCAGCAAGCTGAAATTCAATAAAGAGAAGTGCAAAGTACTTCATTTAGGAGGGAAAAATCAAATGCACAGCTACAAAATGGGGAATAACTAGCTAGGCCAGGGGAGGGCAAACTTTTTGGCCTGAGGGCCACATCAGGTTTCCAAAATTGTATGGAGGGCCAGTTAGGGGAGGCTGTGCCTCCCCAAATGGCCAGGTGTGGCCTGGCCCCTGACCCCTATCTGACCCCCCTGCTTCTTGCCCCCTGACGGCCCTCCCAGGACTTCTATCACATCCAACCCCCCCTGTTCCCATCCCCTGATGGCCCGCCCGTGACTCCTGCCCCATCCACCACCCCCTGTCCCCTGACCACCCCCAGACTCCCCGCCCTTGACTGCCCCTCACCGTCCCATTCAACCCCTCCTGTCATTCCTGATGGTCCTTATGATGAGATTACTGGTTCTGTGGATGAAGGGAAAGCAGTGGATGTATTGTTTCTTGACTTTAGCAAAGCTTTTGACACGGTCTCCCACAGTATTCTTGTCAGCAAGTTAAAGAAGTATGGGCTGGATGAATGCACTATAAGGTGGGTAGAAAGTTGGCTAGATTGTCGGGCTCAACGGGTAGTGATCAATGGCTCCATGTCTAGTTGGCAGCCGGTGTCAAGTGGAGTGCCCCAGGGGTCGGTCCTGGGGCCGGTTTTGTTCAATATCTTCATAAATGATCTGGAGGATGGTGTGCATTGCACTCTCAGCAAATTTGTGGATGATACTAAACTGGGAGGAGTGGTAGATACGCTGGAGGGCAGGGATAGGATACAGAGGGATCTAGACAAATTGGAGGATTGGGCCAAAAGAAATCTGATGAGGTTCAATAATGATAAGTGCAGGGTCCTGCACTTAGGACAGAAGAACCCAATGCACAGCTACAGACTAGGGACCGAATGGCTAGGCAGCAGTTCTGCGGAAAAGGACCTAGGGGTGACAGTGGACGAGAAGCTGGATATGAGTCAGCAGTGTGCCCTTGTTGCCAAGAAGGCCAATGGCATTTTGGGATGTATAAGTAGGGGCTTAGCGAGCAGATCGAGGGACGTGATCGTCCCCCTCTATTCGACATTGGTGAGGCCTCATCTGGAGTACTGTGTCCAGTTTTGGGCCCCACACTACAAGAAGGATGTGGATAAATTGGAGAGAGTCCAGCGAAGGGCAACAAAAATGATTAGGGGTCTGGAACACATGACTTATGAGGAGAGGTTGAGGGAACTGGGATTGTTTAGTCTGCAGAAGAGTAGAATGAGGGGGGATTTGATAGCTGCTTTCAACTACCTGAGAGGTGGTTCCAGAGAGGATGGTTCTAGACTATTCTCAGTGGTGGAAGAGGACAGGACAAGGAGTAATGGTCTCAAGTTGCAGTGGGGGAGGTTTAGGTTGGATATTAGGAAAAACTTTTTCACTAGGAGGGTGGTGAAACACTGGAATGCGTTACCTAGGGAGGTGGTAGAATCTCCTTCCTTAGAAGTTTTTAAGGTCAGGCTTGACAAAGCCCTGGCTGGGATGATTTAATTGGGGATTGGTCCTGCTTTGAGCAGGGGGTTGGACTAGATGACCTCCTGAGGTCCCTTCCAACCCTGATATTCTATGATTCTATGAATCCTCCCGGGACCCCTGCCCCATCCAATCACCGCTTCTCTCTGTCCCCTGACTGCCCCCAGAACCCTTGCCCCTGACTGCCCTCAGCCGCCCCATCCAACCTCCCTCTCTTCCTGACTGCCCCCCGGAACCCCTGCCCCCATTCATCCCCCCTGTTCCCCATCCTCTGACCGCCCTGACCCCTGTCCACACCCCCGCCCCCTGAGCACCCTCTTGAACTCTCCTGTCCTCTATCCAACCCCCGCTGCCCCATTTCCGTGCTGCCTGGAGCACCGGTGGCTGGCCAGGCTACAGCCACGCCGTTGTGCAGCACAGAGCACCGGGTCAGGTCGGGCTCTGCAGCCCCCCCTCGTCCAGAGCGTTGTGCTGGCAGCGCAGTGAGCTGAGGCTGCAGGGGAAGGGGAACAGCGGGGGAGGGGCTGGGGGCTAGCCTCACAGGCCAGGAGCTCAGGGGCCGGGCAGGAGGGTCCCACGGGCCGTAGTTTGCCCACCTCTGAGCTAGGCGGTAGCATTGCTGAAAAGGATTTGTGGGGGGTACAATAGGTCACAAATTGAATGAGTCAACAATGTGATGCAGTTGCAAAAAAGGCTAATATTTTCAGCAGTATAGTAACAGGAAGATTGTATGTAAGATATGAGAGGTAGTTGTCCCACTATACTCAGCACTGGAGAGGCCTCAGCTGGAGTTCTGTGTCCAATTCTAGGCCCCACACTTTAGGAAAGATGTGGACAAATTTGGAGAGAGTCCAGAGGAAAGCAACAAAAATGATAAAAAATTTAGAAAACCTGACCTATGAGGAAGGATTTTTTAAAAAGTGAATCTTTAGTCTTGAGAAAAGAAGACTGAGGGAAGAGGATTCAAAATTGTTACAGGCTGTTATAAAGAGGACTGTGATCAATTGTTCTCCATGTCCATTGAAGGTAGGACAAGAAGTAAGGGGCTTAATCCACAGTAGGGGAGATTCAAGTTAGATAACAAGAAAATCTTTATAATGCTCAGGGGAGTTAAGCTCTGGAACAGGCTTCCAATGGAAGTTGTGGAATCCCTGTCATTGGAAATTTTTAAGAACAGCCTGGACAAACACCGTTGTGCTCGGGCAGAACAAAGTAAACCTGGATCATCCCCAAGAGACTGAACTAGATGACCCTTCCTGCTCTACGTGTCTATGATTGTGGGGAGAAACCGTCATTCTGCTGTCTCTTCCACCTCCACCCTCCAAATCCCTGATCTCTCAGCTTGTGTTTCATCCCATCCCCCTGCCCTTGCTCCCTCAATGTGTGTTTCACCCAACTTGGACCCCATCCTGGGAACATGGGTCCTTCAACACATCTCACCCCAGCCTGGACCTCCAAAACGCCCAGGTCCTCAGCCTGTGATTTAGCTCACTTGGGCCCCTCACCATTGTCTCTGTGGCTCTGTTGGTTTCATTATTGCTACAGATTGTGGACTTTACAAGTCCTCAGGGAGCTGACTCTGTTTTGTTTGTATTTCAGTCTCCCAGAGTTCAGCTAGCTCTGACCTGCATCTGCCCTCTCTGAGTGACAGTCTGGGAGCTGACCAGCAAACCTGCTGTCCTCCTTTATTCTTGCTCTGCATTGACTGGGGTGGGGGTCAGATAGTAAAGATGCCAAGAGCCATGGCACTGTCAATGGACTGTAGAGAATGGACTGTATCTGGACATCTGACTCTAACCCTGCAGAAGTTACAGGCACTGGGCCGATCTGCCCTTGCTAAATCCCACAGCAGTTGCAGGGTGGGAGGATAGAACATGGCCCCCAGGCTAAGTTGGTAAGTAATTCATTTAAGGGGACACCTCTCTGCTGCCCAAGAAGGCAAGTTGCTGAATCCGCACAGTGCTGGGGACATGTTCCCTACACAGCAGGGAAAACAGGCAGCTGAGAAATGTTGCTAAGAGCAGGATTGGAGGAAGACTGGTCCTGTGACTAAGGAGGCCTGTGGCCACCAGATTCTCTGGTCCAGCCAAGCAGTGCTCAGTGCTGAATCAAGAGTGTTGTGTGCGAGGGTAAAGTAGCTTTCCACCACCTTATGGGCCCCCCAGTGAAGCTGGTTCAGCCACCAACATGAATTGGAGTAGTCCTAATCTGATGGAAAATGGAATGCCGAGGAACATAGGAATTGCCAGACCGGATCATTGGCAAGGTCCATTGTCGCAGGGTCATGGGTCCCTTGAAGGCAGGATGGGACCAGCCCCTCGTGAAGTAGCTGCTTCCCGCCCTGAGGGAGGTGGGGCAAAGGGGTCAGCCGATACGTTATTGGTCACCTGGTCCTTATAAAAGGGCTCCACGCGCGCAGTCTGGGAGCGGCACCACAGGGGCTGGTGGCCGGCGGGCGGGCGGGCGGGCTCTTGTGGAAGGCCCTGAGCCAGCGTCTGTAGGAGGCTGAGGACTCCAGCCAGGACCGGATTTACCATGGCGCCAACGCCTCCATCGTGCCGGGCCCAAGCTCAGGTGGGGGGGTCCATGACACTCGCTTCCTCCCCCTCGCAGCGCTCACGAGCGGAGGCTCTGAGAGCGAGCAGCGGGCATCCAGCCCGCCGAGAACCCACGGGGCCCTGGGAGCCGTGGTTCCTTGGCCAGCTCCCTGCCTAGAGAGCCGGCCCTGGAGCAGGGAAGGAACTACATTTCCCAGCATTCCCTTGGCCACTCTCCACGGGAAAGGGAGGGGGAAGGAGTGGGGAAGCTGAGACCCCATGCGCTGCAGCTTGCTGTGAATGGGGAGCTGGCTGCTTGGGGGTGGGGCGCTGTGAATGGGGAACAAGTCTGCCCAAGGAGTAGAAGGCTTTGGCCCAGCTATCACCCTCAAAGACTTCCCCAGCTGGATGAGGGATGCTGGTGTGACCTCGCCTGGCAGCCCCCAAAGAAGGAACTGGGTGGACTGAACGGACAGTGCCCCTCTCTGTCTGAAGCCTAGCAACGGAGGTCTGTGGACCCCACCAGGAGAAGTTAAAATGAAAAGTAAGGGAGGGGAGGCTCTACTAGAGGACCTGGGCAGCTTTAGGTACAGTAACAGGCACGTAGGAGGATTTCCACGGCCAAGCCATAGAAACAGAAATTGGCTTTTCTTTTCCAGATTTATCTAATATTCAGAAAGGGAATCTAGCACCTGCTTTCCAGATTTGAACACCCTCAAAATTCAGGGGTGCTCAAGCTCAATTTAGGCTGCTATTTACTTCATTTTACTTTACTTCATTTCTCCCAAATCAAATATGCTGATCCACTGTAACTTGCTGTAGAAAAAGTAGGATAAAATTGAGCAACAAACGCTGGGGTCTTCCCAGTGCTAATTCGGACTGGAATTGCTATTTTCAACAGCCATGACCCTTTTTTTTTTTAGTTTTTGTTTAAAAGGAAGACAGTAATATTGCACTTGGAAATTCCCCACAGAAACAAAGAGTGGAAAAACGAATAACAAAGGCACCTCAACTTTTCCTCATTTATGTGGGACAGTCTTATCATATGGATCCAGATATCCTCCAATCACACAAGCTGAAAATTGTTCCACTTTACTGCAGTTCTGTAACTGTGCAGGGACCAGTCCTTTCTGTGTTCTGTGCACATCCAAAATTCCTCCTGAATTCAGAAGGGCCTTGCTTTTGTGACCACACTACCAGATATTTTCAGCCCTGGTAAGCGAAGCAGGTTTACAGTTCGTAAGTGGGCAGGAGGCCTCTCAGAAAAAGTTAGGTGCTGTGGGAAGTGTTGCTTATTCACTAGGTAACGTGAGACCTTCCTGTTACCATAGTAAACCAGTGCAGCACAGAATGCGCTTTGCTCCCAGAGTCGAGAATGGGGTTTTTTGCTTCTGTACGCAGCCCTTTAAAGACGATGAAAAGACTCCCACTCACTTCAACAGGCTTTGGACAGAACTGTTTATACACAGGATAACTCCACTGTCTTCACAGGGTCCTGGTCCCACAGCGGCGGGGGGCCAGGTGAGCTTGTTGCAGAGCTGCTGCTCAGGGATGGGAACCTCCTGCACCCCAGCCTCCAAAATCATTCAGGCTGCACTTTCTGCATGACTACGTGCTAGCTGAGGGGTGTATGGGAATTAGTGCCCCTGCTGCAGGTGATGGGCATCTCAGGTACTTAAAGCCATGGCCTAGAGGAGGGAAGTGCATAACTGCAGAGTCTGCAGCTGCCTAGGGCCAGTGCTGAGGATTTAGAGTCCCTAGTGCTGCTGTTGCAAGGTTCAAGCATGCTCAGCCTTGGAATTGCCACCCCTCCCTTGCTAGCAGCTGCAGCTATCTCAGGCTGGCCTCTGACAATTGGCCCCATGGCTGTAGCCAGAGAAGCTGCAGGTGGCTCTGTGACTACTGGGGGCCATTAAGCTAGAGCAGATAAAGAAACTGGAATTAACCTCAAGGAACAGAGGTCACCAGTAGGAAAGGAACGTCAAGGGGAGCCGGGAAAGAGGAAGCAGGTCAGGTTTGCATGGGGAGAATAGCCCCAGCTGGTTGGGGAGCACATCCAAAGTAGAAAGGAAATTGGTCCTGCTTCGAGCAGGGGGTTGGACTAGATGACCTTCTGGGGTCCCTTCCAACCCTTATATTCTATGATTCTATGATTCTATGAAACAAGCATGGGGAGAGGTGGTGGTGATCAGGTAGTAGACTAGCCTGTAGATGGGAGCAGAGGGAGAAAGGCTGGTGTCTTCAAATTCCCAAGGGCTAAGTCTCACTTTGGGGAAATGGTGTGTGCAAGGGGCTTGCTCAAATGGCAGGATGGGTGCTGAGGAAGGGATTTGTCAGAATTGATCAGGTATCTGCGGGCTGTGGAACTTTATTGAGCTGAGACCAGAACCACACACACTGACTGGTGACATGGGGTGGCACTGGAGATGTGGCTATAGAAGGTCTGAATGAGGAAGGAGATAAATCTGTGGGGAGCTTCCCTGATCACTTGTGAAAGTTCTGCTCACTGTGGACACTGGTAAACCCACATGGGTGTACAGCTCAATGAGAAGAACTGGGGGCTGAGGGAGCTGCGTATGGCAATGCAGCTAGTCATGTAGAGGTGTGGGATCAAAATGAAAAATGTCTCTGAGATTCAGGACCGGGGACACTAGGGCACCAATGGCCCTCCCACACCAGGCCCATGCTCAGAGCCCACAATGACGACATAGGGGCCCACAAATGTGTTTGGTGCCAGTTCCCACAAAAGGTTAATCCGGCCCTGACTCCAAGGGACTGAGCCTGGGGGGTTAGTGCTCTGTATTGGAGCAGGGAAAGACTCAAAGGTAGCCCAGAAAAGGGTGTAAACAGGGCCCAAAGGGTGGAAAGCCCAATGCAATATTACTGTATTATTGCATTGGCAAAGGGTTGGCTGACGAGAAGCCCACAAAAGCCAGAAGAACTTGGTGTTGCTTGGGACTTTTTTTTTTGCCCTCCTGGAAGCCTGGAAGGGGTTCAGTTTGTGGCTTGGCTGGAGGGCCAAGTCACAGCTCCAGCCCTGACCCATGTGCATGGAGTTTATTAAATGAGCCCTGAGGAAGAGGGAAACCTGAGGTAGCATGCTGCAGTGCCATCCCAGGCCATGGCGGGGGAGGCGGATGTGCTGTTAGCATCCAGCTAGTCGAGTCTCTGTCTGACACTGGCAGCACCACATCCACCAGAAGGGGGACAAACTGCCCTGCAGTTGGCAGACATGGGATATGCTGGGCCCTGGAAGGGCTCATCTGGATCAGGCGGATTTGATCTCTGGGCCATGATTTTCATTGGCAGTAACCACACTAATGCTGGATGCAGAATGCAAACAATGATCCCATAAAATAAATGTAAATAGCGTTAGTGAAGGTGCAATGCCCAGTACTCAGGTGCATGCCTGGGACTGTGTATGATTTCCCTGTTCCTACTAGAATTCATCCCACTCTCCTGGTGCTGTTAAACATGGTCCATGGGCATGGAAATCAGGCTGATCTAGTCATGGCTCTGTGACTGACTGCTGCGTGACCTTGGACAAGTTGCTTACTCAGGCTGTGCCTCAGTTTCTCCTTCTGGGAAATGGAGATAATGATACCGACCCTCCACTGTACCATGCTCAGAGAGTGCTGTTTCTTCCTCTGGCCTGCAGTGACTCATATCTGGTGGTCTCAGACACTACCGAAGCCCAGTTACCTTTTGTAGCTTTTGGGACGTATCCAGGCTCTTCCCACATGGTGTTTGGATTGAGCCTGTGCTCTCCCTGCTCTTACAGGAGTTATGTGCCTTCTCCCTCCAGGACCCGGATGCCATTGGGTACCTGACGGGCAGGAACAATGCCAACGGAGTTGACTTAAACCGTAACTTCCCCGATCTCAACACTTTCATGTACTACAATGAAAAAAATGGTGGCCCCAATCACCACATCCCTCTTCCAGCCAACTGGAAAAGCCAGGTATGGACCAGGAATTTCCAGCAGTATTACAGGATTGCACCAGCACTGCCCGCATGGAGAAACATCTACCCCTGCTCTGTACTTCCCAGCCCCCCTTTTCAAAGAAACAGCATCTCCTCTATGGGCCCCAGGTACAGAAGTGAAAGTAAGCCGGCCCAGTCCGGTCTGGCGTACCAGCAAGAGCCAGTATGCCATGCCAGACCGGACCGGCTTCCCTAGTCTGGCACTTTAAAGGATTAGGGTTAGGGCCCGGCCACGCCTCTTCCGGTCAAGGCCACGCCCCCCTGCTCAGGACTCCCGGAGTACCAGTAAGTCCTTTAAGTTACTTTCACCCCTGCCCAGGTATTGGTTTTTGTCTGAAGAAATGACACAATTTGCGTCACAGGGCTTTCAAGAGGAGCCTGACCCAGCAGTTGCCCATTTTAGTGCACACCCGGAGTTCCATCCCGTATAAGTCTGCACTGGAAAAGTGTTTTTGTCTGAAAAATCCTATGAATACTTTTACTTTGGGGGGGATTTGAAAGCAATAGTCAAATGGGGTGTCTAAAATGAGATTTACCAAAAATCTCGACTTTCTAATAGTTTGATAGTCTAATAGTTCTAATAGTTTCTAATAGCTCTGCCTAAAAACACTGTGTGTAGCGTTTACAACCAGCCTAAGTATGTCAGGTACTTCAAACATATGAAAATGACTTCTTACCGCTCCCCAAACTCCATTAACTCTGGAGGCACGTCTGGCATAACAGCCCCAGCTTTAGAAATGTCTGAAATCTTTGAGCACAAGTGAAAATGTGACACCCCGCCCCGCTACACCATGCTCTCCTCAGTGGCGAGTAAGGTACTAGTCTGGCTTGGTGAGTGATTGCTGCCCTCTGGGTAGCGATGGATGCATGGATTCTGTAGACGACATGGCAGAAGTGAATTTTAACAAGAAGATTTGAATGAAGAGGGAAATGAGGCACATGGGCCAGGCACACAGGGCAGCATGGAAGGATGCCCAAAAAGGGGAGGCACAGAAGGAAATTAACAGGTTGTCAAAGTTGTTGTAGTTTGCCTAGTGGAAGGTTTCTGGGAATATGGTAGGTTATAAGGTCAGACATGCAGGTGGGAGTGGGCTAGGGAGGGCCTTGAGTCTGAGTTATGCAGAGCAATGGGGAGGCATCATGGCCTTCGGCGAGGGGCCAGGAAAGCAATTCTGGCAGTAGTGTTTGGACAGTCTGTAGGGGCAAGGCAGGTACCTTGGCAGCTGTGGAGGAGGCGGGTGCCATGGTCAGGGCAGCAAATGTTCAGGCCTGCATGAGCAATTCAGCCATCTGAAGAGAAGTGGAAGGCTTCCAGATGTGCGCTGGAAGAAGAGAGAGCAGGATGGAGTCACATCAGGATGTGAGAGGCTGGGAGAGAGGGGCTGGTAACGGCAGGTAGTGGAGGACAGCAGAGAAGGGAAGGGGAGGCATACGGAGCGCAGGCTAGGAGGTAGCACCCTATCATCCTCCTCGACCCCCCAGAGCACTGTCCACAAGCCAGGCTGTGCTGAGACTCCTCCCTGAGCTCAGTGCTGCAATGGTTCTGCTGCCTCCCATGCTGGCGTCTCCTTTGCTTGCAGGTGGAGCCAGAAACACTGGCTGTGATTCACTGGATGAGCCGCTACAACTTTGTCCTCTCAGCCAATCTCCATGGTGGAGCTCTCGTGGCGAATTACCCCTACGACAAAGCCCAGGAGCAGCGGAGCCGGGGCTATCAGCGGAAAAGCAACACCCCATCCCCCACGCCTGATGACAAGCTGTTCCGGAAGGTGCACAGGGGGCATCATGAGAGCTCCTAATGGGGCTTGGGCCCCACATGTCAGAGATCTCACAAGATCAGCTCTTCTTCATTCAGTATCTGAACCAGACTGTAGGGGTCAAGGGTTTGGGTCTGGGATTTGAATCCAGACTACCTCCCCTTGATCGCCCAGCCCCCAAACAAACGTGATGGGGTTTGGATCGGAAGTTCCAGTTTTAGCCCAGGCTTTGTTTTTAATCATCTGCAACAATCTCTTTGAAACTGGCAATAATGGGATGTTGGTCTAAATACGTCTCTGGTATAAACACCACTGATGTCCAGGGTGTTTGCACCAGGAATGAATCTGGCCCATTTCCCATGCACAGGGAAGTCTAGGCACAAGCCCCTCCTTATCAGTGCAGCCATCCTTTCTATAGGTCTGAGAGCCGCCAGAGCTGGCCTGAGCGCCCTCAATTCCCAGGGGCTTCAATAGGAGCAGGATTGGGCCCTATGTGACACTAACAAGCTCCCAACTAATTAGTTTTACTCTTCCTCCTCCTTGCCCAACCCACCGCTCTGGAGAGGGTCTAACAGGCCTGCACTGTGGTAACCTGCAGTTTGGTGTGTGCTCTGAAGTCATGTCTGACTTTCCACCGTGTTTCCCAAGTCAGCCTGTGCAGATGGAGGGTTAGTTTTACTGCTGGGCAGTGATTGCTGAGCTGAGAGAATCCAGGCTTGACAGCTGGGATAAAAACATATCCGGACGATAAATCTGCTGCTTCTGGGGTCAGATCCAACCTCTGCCTCCTGTGGCCTTGGAAGAAGCTGCCCGAGGGGCTGGCTATTCCATAACTGTCCATTATGGGCTTTCTTGCACCTTCCTCCGGGTCTGTCTGTTGGCAGAGGCAGGAGACTAGGCTCCGAGCTAGCCTGTTCCTCTCTGCTCCTATGGGCTCTTGTGTCTGGGTAGGGAGCAGCAGGGACTGTAAGGGGTAAACGGAGAGCTCGGGCTGACCTGCCTCATTCAAAAAGACCTGCATGACCTCGGCCTCCAAGGGTTACTTTCTGAAGAGGCGGGATCTTGTTGCTATGGCAATGAAAGCCAAAGCCAGGGCTCCAATCAGAAAGCGCCGTGGGCAGGTTTTATCCTGGATTTCCCATTACAAATTGGACTGAATTTATATTGCAACAGAGCCCTTCCCCCCACCCCTCCTATCAGGGCTCCCACTGGGCAGCAAACCCCAGGAGGGGGACAGGCGACCCCACCCGACTGTGCAATGGCATCCCCCAACTCGAATTCTCTGTGGGCTTTGTGGGAAGGTTCCTGAGCCCATGGGGTCAGAGCTGGGGTCAGGTTCCCTTGCTGGGGGTGTGGCAGGGGGCAGGTTCCCCTGTGCGGGAGGGGCTGGGGGGGGCAGGTTCCTGAACTCAAGAGGGCAGGGCAGGGGCAGGTTCCCACACTCATGTGAGCAGGGCTGGGGTATGGGTTCCTATGATGGCGGGCTGGGGGAGTATCTGTGTGAAGAACAGTGGTGGGGCTGTGCTGGGCCTGCTCTCTCTCACTTGGGTTTAGCTCTTAGTGTCCATGGGAGCAGACTCAGGCTGAGAGACATGGGCCGGAGGGGCAAAGCCAGTGCTGTGACCAGCCTCATGCTCTCTCTGCAGCTGGCCAAAGCCTATTCCTACGCCCATCACTCGATGCACCAGAGCCCAACCTGCGGAGACCAGTTTGCAGACGGCATCACCAATGGGGCCTCCTGGTATTCTCTCAGCAAGGGTAAGGGCTGGGGGAGGGGGTACCGGGAGCTGGAGAACAGTCCAGAGGGAACAGGAGAGGTGAGGATACGGGAGATCTGGGCTGCAGAGGGGGTAGTGTGACAGATAAGGGCTGAGGAAGGGATGAGCAGGGTCGGGGGGGGAATGCGGAGGTGTAATGGCTATGGGGAGGGTACAGGGTTAAGGGCTGGTGAGACAGTATGTGGAGATAATGGCTAAGGAAGGGGTACTGGGATATGGGGGTGCACCCTCGGTGAGTGATGAGTACCCAGATTCTGGGGGATTGGTCAGGAGTACTCATTTCTGTCAAACCTTGAGTATGAAGCTGGGAGGGTCCACAATGTGGAAGTGACAAGACATAAAAGCAGCAATAAAATTTAAAAAATAATAATGGAAAAAGTTTATATCACTGGCTGTACACTGCCAGTCATGAGTGCTGACAACTGATAAGGGAGGTTAGATTTTCCACAGATATCTTTATGTCCAGTAGGGTTAAAGACATCAAGAAAGATTTAAAAAGACTATATTAGGAGCAGGAGAAATCCTAGCAATGGTATAGGTCCATTACTAACTAGGGATGATAAAATTTCTATTCTGTGTTTGGGAAGAAGCTGGATGGCACAGTCACAGCTTGCGCTGATAATGAAAGAGTTTATTCTGACAGTAACGTGGGAGGATGTTAAACAGCAACCACTAAAATTAAACATTTTCTGATTGTAGAATACAAAAACTTGCGCTAAAGAATTGTCCGAGAATCTCTCTAAGCAAGTGGTGTTGATATTTAACAATCTGGGAACACTGGGAAAGACCCAGAGAACTAGAAAAAAGCTAACGTGCCAGTATTTAAAAAGGGTGAACAGGATGACCTGGGTAACTACTGTAAGCCAGTTTGCTTGACATTGATCCCAGGCAGAATCCTGGAAAGGCTGATACGGGGTGCAGTCAGTGACGAATTAAGGATGGCAGCATAATTAATGCTAATTTGTGTGGTTTTATGGAAAATAGATATTGTCAGACAAACCTGATACCACTATTTGATCAGATTACCGGTTGAGTTGGCAAAGCTAACTGCGCTGGTACAATATATATTTGTAGGGCATTTGGCTTAGTACTGCCTGACATGCTGATAAAAAATGGCACTACACAAAAATCAATCCCGTTTATATTAAATGGATTAAAACTGACTAAATGATTAATCTCAAAAATTAATTGTAAATGGTAAGTTGTCATGCTATGCAGTGTTTATTTCAGCAGATTTTTCAGGGATCTCTTCTTGGCTCAATGCCATTTAATATCTTTATCAACAATTTGGAAGAATATATAAAATCATGGCTGGTAAAGTTTGCAGATGACACCAAAATTAGTGCAGTGTTAAATAATGATAAGGAAAGGCTACTGATACAGTGTGATCTAGGTCACTTGGCAGTCTGAGCTCACTTGAATCACATGTTTTAATACAACTAAATGCAAGGTCATACATATATTAACTGAGACTACAGGTCACACTCACAGGATAGGGACTGTGTTTTAGAAAGCGGTGAATCATAAAAGGACTTTGGGGTCATGGTAGATGCAAACTGAACTCCCAGTGCAATGTGGTGACTAAGAGAGCAAATGCAATTTTTGAATGTCTATATAGGCCAGAGGTGGGCAAACTATGGCCTGCGGGCCACATCCGACCCACGGGACCATCCTGCCTGGCCCCTGAGCTCCTGGCCTGGGAGGCTAGCCCCTGGCCCCTCCCACACTGTCCCCTCTCCCCCACAGCCACACCGCTGCATGGGCAGCACATCAGCGTGTCTGGCTCCAGCCTGGCAGCACTGCGGCCAGACATGCCGCTCTGAGCGGCATGGTAAGAGGGCCGGGGCCGGGGGCTTGGATAAGGGGCAGGGGATCCCAGGGGGCAGTCAGGTAACAGGAAGCAGGGGGCGGTTGGATGGGGCAGAGGTTCTAGGGGGATTGCAGTCAGGGGATGGGGAGCGGCGGGGGCTAGATAGGGCGTGGATTCCCAGGGGGCGGTTGGGATGGGGATCCCAGGAGGGGGTGATCAGGGAACAAGAAGCGGGGGGATTGATGGGGGGATTCTGAGGGGGACAGTTGTCGGGGGGGCAGGCTGTTTTGGGCAGGCAGCCTTCCCGGCCCTCCATGCAGTTTCTCACCCCGATGTGGCCCCCAGGCCAAAAAGTTTGGCCACACCTGAAATAGGCAGTACAATGCTGAGCAAAAGCAGGCAGGTAGTGTTACCACAGTACATGGCATTAGTGAGACCATGGCAGGGTCCTATATCCAAGTCTAGTGTCCGCAATTCAAAGGGTCTGTGGAAAATTGGAAAGGGTTCAGTAAAGGGCTCCATTGATGCTCTGAGGTTTGGCAAACCTGCCTTACATTGCGTGTATCTAATCTCTCACTACATTTAGTTTATTAAAGAGACGGTTCAGAGGTTATTTGATCATGGTCTACAAGTCCCTCCATGGGGAAGAGATTTCTAACAGTAGACAGCTCTTTAATCTAGCAGAAAAAGCCTGAACAAGGTCCACTGGTTGGACGCTGAAGCGAGACAAATTCAGGCTAGACATAAGGTGCCAATGCTGTACAGTGAGAGTAATTATCCATTGGAACAACTTACTGAGGGACACAGTGGCTTCTCCATCTCCTGTAGACTTTAAATCCGGGCTGAATGTCTTGCTAAAAGACAAGCTCTAGCTCAGCCAGCAGTTATGGGCTTGAGGCAGGAACCATTTGGTGTAATTCTCTGGTCTGTGCCCTGCAGGAGGTCAGATGAGACAATCATAATGTCTCCGTCTGGTCTGTGACTCCTGCACTTGGAGAGGCACATGCAGCTTCTAAGCACAGAGCTCTGGAGAGCCGCACCTGGCAGGTGTTGTGGGAGAGGAGGGGACAATTGGGTTGCAAAGAGGATAGAGAGAGGCAGCACTGAGAGGGGCTGTGAGAAAGATTTGGGGTGAATGCTGGAGATATGAGGGGGTGTTTGGGGGACCGGATATGGGAAGGGCTGCTGGGGAGGACTGGAGAGGTGGGCCGTACATTTGGAGGGAAGACAGGGAGTGTCTTTGGGAAGGAGGCAGAGGGGAGCGCCATACTGGAGGAGGGGGCATGGTGTGTCTCTGGGCCTGGCCACAACCTCTCCTTGTCTCCTCTCAGGCATGCAGGACTTTAATTATCTTTACACCAACTGCTTTGAGATCACTCTGGAGCTGAGCTGCGATAAATTTCCACCTCAAAAGGACCTGGAGAAGGAGTGGCTGGCCAATCGTGAGGCGCTCATCACCTACTTAGAGGAGGTAAAGGGGCCACACGTAGACCCTGATACCAACCTCATGTAGGGGTGAGATCCCTGTCCCCCCCCCCCGCTTTGCATTGCAGGGGGAAGAGATGCAATGGGGGGGGGGGCACCAGCAGAGGCTGGGAACATGGAGGGAGGCCCTGGGGCTCCCTCGTTTGGTGCTTTGGAGACAGCACTGAGAAACTTTGCATCGCAGGGGGAAGAGATGCAATGGGGGGGCACCAGCAGAGGCTGGGGACACGGAGGGAGGCCCTGGGGCTCCCTCGCTTGGTGCTTTGGAGACAGCACTGAGAAGCTCCAGCAAAGGTGATGCCTCCCGCCCTGGCTCGGCCAGAGAAAGGCCAGCCCAGCTATGGGTCTTTGGCGGGGGAGAGAATGGAGTATCACCAGGGCTCTGTTCTCCTGCTCCAGTAGGGTCTGGCAGGACCTTGACATGGAGAGAGACTCCAGCCCTCAGGAGTGAGTGACTCTGTCTGTCTATCTGCAGGTTCATCAGGGTATCAAAGGACTGGTGTCCGATGAGAACAACAATGGGATTGCAGGTGCTGTGATTTCTGTCCATGGGATCGGCCACTATGTCACTTCTGGTGGGTTGCCCATCCCTCAGCTTGCTGACCCTTTTGGTAACAGCCCGATTAGCCTGATTTGGGAGGAACACGGTGTGATAGGCCCCCCCAGGGTGCAACCTGGAACTGGGGTACCACTGAGCCCTCTGTCTCACCAGCCTGGGCTCCCTCTCACACTGTGCTGCGGTGACAAGTTGCAGACTGCTCTCAGTCCTGCACTCGCACAAACCTTTACACAGGCAGAGACACACTCAGCTGTAGTTACATGAAGGCTTCTCCCCAGCACGACAGCCTAGGACCCCAGAGCTGTACCATCTTGTCCTGGTCAAAAGCCTGCCCAGTATAAATTTACTACTCAGTCTGTACCTCCCTCAATGTGGAGAGGACATGTGCCAGCTCCTGTTCCCAAGCAGATTCCCCAAGCACTTCTGGCAAAACGCACTGTTTCAGGTTAAAAAAAAAAAAAAAAAAAGGACAACAATTGTATTAACTACAGAAGGATAGATTTTAAGTGATTCTAAGTAGTGAGTGTACAGATCATAGAATCATAGAATATCAGGGTTGGAAGGGACCTCAGGAGGTCATCTAGTCCAACCCCCTGCTCAGAAGCAGGACCCATCCCCAATTAAATCATCCCAGCCAGGGCTTTGTCAAGCCTGACCTTAAAAACTTCTAAGGAAGGAGATTCCACCACCTCCCTAGGCAACGCATTCCAGCGTTTCACCACCCTCCTAGTGAAAAAGATTTCCTAATATCCAACCTAAACCTCCCCCACTGCAACTTGAGACCATTACTCCTTGTCCTGTCCTCTTCCACCACTGAGAATATTCTAGAACCATCCTCTCTGGAACCACCTCTCAGGTAGTTGAAAGCAGCTATCAAATCCCCCCTCATTCTTCTCTTCCGCAGACTAAACAATCCCAGTTCCCTCAGCCTCTCCTCATAACTCATGTGTTCCAGACCCCTAATCATTTTTGTTGCCCTTCGCTGGACTCTCTCCAATTTATCCACATCCTTCTTGTAGTGTGGGGCCCAAAACTGGACACAGTACTCCAGATGAGGCCTCACCAATGTCAAATAGAGGGGGACGATCATGTCCCTCGATCTGCTCGCTACGCCCCTACTTATACATCCCAAAATGCCATTGGCCTTCTTGGCAACAAGGGCACACTGCTGACTCATATCCAGCTTCTCGTCCACTGTCACCCCTAGGTCCTTTTCCGCAGAACTGCTGCCTAGCCATTCGGTCCCTAGTCTGTAGCGGTGCATTGGGTTCTTCCGTCCTAAGTGCAGGACCCTGCACTTATCCTTATTGAACCTCATCAGATTTCTTTTGGCCCAATCCTCCAATTTGTCTAGGTCCCTCTGTATCCTATCCCTGCCCTCCAGCGTATCTACCACTCCTCCCAGTTTAGTATCATCCACAAATTTGCTGAGAGTGCAATCCACACCATCCTCCAGATCATTTATGAAGATATTGAACAAAACCGGCCCCAGGACCGACCCCTGGGGCACTCCACTTGACACCGGCTGCCAACTAGACATGGAGCCATTGATCACTACCCGTTGAGCCCGACAATCTAGCCAACTTTCTACCCACCTTATAGTGCATTCATCCAGCCCATACTTCTTTAACTTGCTGACAAGAATACTGTGGGAGACCGTGTCAAAAGCTTTGCTAAAGTCAAGATACAATACATCCACTGCTTTCCCTTCATCCACAGAACCAGTAATCTCATCATAGAAGGCGATTAGATTAGTCAGGCATGACCTTCCCTTGGTGAATCCATGCTGACTGTTCCTGATCACTTTCCTCTCATGTAAGTGCTTCAGGATTGATTCTTTGAGGACCTGCTCCATGATTTTTCCGGGAACTGAAGTGAGGCTGACTGGCCTGTAGTTCCCAGTATCCTCCTCCTTCCCTTTTTTAAAGATGGGCACTACATTAGCCTTTTTCCAGTCATCCGGGACTTCTCCCGTTCGCCACGAATTTTCAAAGATAATGGCCAATGGCTCTGCAATCACAGCCGCCAGTTCCTTTAGCACTCTCGGATGCAACTCGTCCAGCCCCATGGACTTGTGCACGTCCAGCTTTTCTAAATAGTCCCTAACCACCTCTTTCTCTACAGAGGGCTGGCCATCTATTCCCCATGTTGTGATGCCCAGCGCAGCAGTCTGGGAGCTGACCTTGTTCGTGAAGACAGAGGCAAAAAAAGCATTGAGTACATTAGCTTTTTCCACATCCTCTGTCACTAGGTTGCCTCCCTCATTCATTAAGGGGCCCACACTTTCCTTGGCTTTCTTCTTGTTGCCAACAAAGCTGAAGAAACCCTTCTTGTTACTCTTAACATCTCTCGCTAGCTGCAGCTCCAGGTGCGATTTGGCCCTCCTAATTTCATTCCTACATGCCCGAGCAATATTTTTATACTCTTCCCTGGTCATATGTCCAACCTTCCACTTCTTGTAAGCTTCTTTTTTATGCTTAAGATCCGCTAGGATTTCACAGTTAAGCCAAGCTGGTCGCCTGCCATATTTACTATTCTTTCGACACATCGGGATGGTTTGTCCCTGTAACCTCAACAGAGATTCCTTGAAATACAGCCAGCTCTCCTGGACTCCTTTCCCCTTCATGTTAGTCCCCCAGGGGATCCTACCCATCAGTTCCCTGAGGGAGTCGAAGTCTGCTTTCCTGAAGTCCAGGGTCCGTATCCTGCTGCTTACCTTTCTTCCCTGTGTCAGGATCCTGAACTCAACCAACTCATGGTCACTGCCTCCCAGATTCCCATCCACTTTTGCTTCCCCTACTAATTCTTCCCGGTTTGTGAGCAGCAGGTCAAGAAAAGCTCCCCCCCAGTTGGCTCCTCTAGCACTTGCACCAGGAAATTGTCCCCTACGCTTTCCAAAAACTTCCTGGATTGTCTGTGCACCGCTGTATTGCTCTCCCAGCAGATATCAGGAAAATTAAAGATCAAAGCAGATTACCTAGGAAATAAACAAAAATGCAATCTAAATCTTGTACACTAGGCCAGATTTGAATCAAGCAGTGTCTCATCCTGTAGATAGTACAAATAGTTAACCAAGCTTCCATTCACAGGCAGGCTTCCTTCTTTCCCCACCTGGGACCTCCTTCTCCAGTTCAGTCTTTGTTCCTTAGATGTTTTCAGGTGCTGTGTTGTAGAGGAAGTAAGGCCGCTTGGTGATGCCACTTCCTCCTTTTATAGCTTCTTCCATCTTGCTGGAAAGATATTTCGCTGTGACCTGAGTTAAACAGTCCCTATTGTGTAGTGTTATCTCTGAGAGATTTCTATTGTACCCAGTTCCTGGGGTAATCCTTGTGAGTATGTGTATTTTCCTCAATGGGCCATTAACGCTGTTTGGCCTTTACATTGTTGTACCTGAACGGCTGGTTAGGGGTGTTTTTAACTTCACAACATACTTCAGTAACAGACACGTGGCAAAACTTCATAACTCTAGATACAAAGATAGCACATACAATTTAACAGGATATTAATACTCAGCAGATTAAGACTTTTAAACTGATACCTCACAAGGCATACTTTGTGAAAAACACATCATAATCCTGTCACCATGGTAAATACGGGGTGCAGAGCGTCACACATGGTGAGCCAGGCAACGATGTATGTTGCCTGTCTCCTGCAAGCACTGCCCGCTATGGGAAATTAGCGACCCTCACAGTGGTGGAAGGTGAGAACCCTTTGGCAGGAAGGGCAAAACGAGCAAACCCCTCCAGCCACTCCTCCCCGTCTGACACACAGCAACCTCGAGCGCCGCAGATTATTAAAATGCTCCTTATGTGTATGTGTGTTGGATTGAATGGGTGGACACAGGTTAACTGGTGTAATGAGTGAAATGGCATGTGGGCTCTGTGGATGCAGCTTCACATTTGGGATGGATCAAAAAGTGAAATGGATTTGTTGGTTCTGATTCTTCTCTGGAGAATTTTTGTTCAAATCACAAACAGACCTTCCAAACCTCATGTGTTGCATGACTTAGGGTCACAGTGGATAATCAGCTAATCGTGAGCTCCCAGTGGGATACTGTAGCTAAGAGGATGAACACCGTCCTTGGATGTATAAGCAGGAGAGTATCAAGTAGGAGTAGGTAGGTGGCATTCCCTCTGTATATAGCATTTGTGAGAACATTGCTGGATCCCGTGTCCTGTTCTGGTGTCCAAAATATGATCTGAAGGCTGGAAACAGGCCATATAGGAAAAGACTTACGAAGATCAGTCTATTTAGTTTACGCAAGAGAAGGTTAAGAGGTTTCTTGACTCTGGTCTACAAGCACCTACATGGGAAACAGATTTATATGTTATTTCATATTTTTATCAGTAACGTGGAAGAAACCATAAAATCATCACTGGTAAAATTTGCAGAGAGTGGGGGAGTGATAAATAACGCAGAGGACAGGTCACTAATACACAGAGATCTGGATTGGTTGGTAAGCTGGGCACAAGCAAACAATGTCTGTTTCAATACAGCTAAATGTAAGGTCATACCCTGAAGAACAAAGGCTGCCAGCCATATTTACAGGCTGGGGGGCTCTTTCCTGGGAAGCAGTGACTCTGACAAAGACTTGGGGGTCATGATGGATATTATTAGCTGCGATGCTGTGGCCAAAAGGGCTAATGCAGTAGTTCTCAACCAAGGGTCTGGGGCTCCCTAGAGGGCCTCGAGCAGGTTTCAAGGGGGCCTTCCAGCAGGGCCAGCCTTAGACTTGCTGGGGCCCAGGGCTGAAAGCCGAAGCCCCACCACATGGGGCTGAAGCCCAGGTCCTTGTGCCCCGCAACCTGGGGCTGAAGCTGAAGCCTGAGCAATGTAGTTCGTGGGGGCCCCTGTGGCATGGGGCCCCAAGCAATTGCCCTGCTTGCTACCCCCTAATGCCAGCCCTGGCTTTTATATGCAGAAACCCAGTTGTTGTGGCACAGGGGGGCCATGGAGTTTTTATAGCATGTTGTTGAGTGGGCCTCAGAAAGAAAATGGTTGAGAACCCCTGGCCTA